CCCCCCCCCACTCGCTCTAGTGTGCCAACCAATCAGCGGCCTCCGAGCACGACCAATAGAATTTTATCATGACCGAATAATTGATTTCTTCCTGATAATGGATTCTTCCGATTGTGAATGAATGACTGAAACTGCTGTCAAGGCAAAAGGAAAAGGTATGGAGTTCCTTAAAACTATTGACTAAAATTTTAGGGTGAGTTATATGCAGAATTAAGAAAAATTATTTCGAGGAGACAAATAATTTTATGTATAACATACATATGACATACATACATATGGGTAGATGAGGTAGATACATTTAAAAACTTCACAAATTGTACTTCCACTTCTTGACTCTCTCAGTCTGAAGATGAATAGATTCTTACTGGTGTAAAATACCCCTCTCAATGGAGTACATATTTCTTCAAAATCGAAAGTGAATGCTAAGAATCATTAATGTATATAACCATATTTGTTGAAAATATCTCAAAACTTCATTAATTACACTTCTATTCTTTGACTCTTTTTCTGTATTAGAATCAGTTTTCTTCCTCAACCATTCTCAATATCATATTTTTCAATTTGATAAAAATTTCCACAATGATTGGGGAATACTGTAATTTTGCATGCAGAAAAGCCTCAATATCCCCCTGCCTCGAAATAATTTCAAACAACTTATAAAATAACAATCCATTATAAACCCTGTGCACAGAGACCGGATAATAAGGAAACGCCAATAGGGCATTCAAAAGAACTGCATTTCTCAAACAGCTATGGAACTGTGAAAAAGTATGAACAATCGTCTTCCAATCCTTCCCAGGAGGACTCAACTCCAGACCCGATATAAAAAATGGTGCTGCTGCGAGCACATTTTACGTTTCACTGTTGATGGCGGTTATTTTTATATTGCGGTCTGGGATTTACTGGATCCACTCGATTCTGAGGTGAGGTAGGTTTGCTATAGGCGCGTCGTCGAGAGTATAGGAAAATCAGGGGGGACTCGGGTGATTTAAGTTGGTAGCCCAAGTAGAGATGCAAAATGACGGTCGTTTTTAACAAATCGGTAAATTGACGTAGAAATGACCAAAAATGACCGTCCCGTCAGGGCATTTTTTTCTGTATGCAAACCATGAAGAATTTTACCCCTCTATTCTTCATGGTAGGGGTAAAACGGACACTTGACTTTTTAAAAAATGTTAATGAGGGGTTGAAATGTTGTTGAAATTCAATAATTTTTTTTTCAATAAAAAGAACAATTCTTTCCCTTTGTGACGAGCCTAAACTGAGCTCAATCACGTATGAAAAAATCGTATAGAAAGTTTCTATACGATTTGCGTATAGAATTTCTATAGGTTTTTCGTATATGATATTCGGATATTTCTATACAAAAATTCCCTATACGGATTATTTCTATACGAATTCGTGTAGAAATTCGTATAGAAATGAACCGTATAGGAAATTTTCGTATAGAAATATCCGAATATCATATACGAAAAACCTATAGAAATGCTATATACAGTCCGTATAGAAAGATTCTATACGATTTTTTCCTACGTGATAGACCTTTTCATTCTGGAAATCTAGGGGAAATATTTATTTCGTTCATTCAACGAAAAAATCTCCGAAAAAACCATGGAAAATTCTGATAAAACTTTACAATGATATACACTTGAGCGTTCAAAAACCATGATTTATATGTAAATTCGATAAAGTGTCCGCAAATCCTAGGGGAATCAACATGGGAAAAAAGTGTCCGCAAATCTAGTGACTCTCAGAATGAAAAGGTCTATTGATAAATTTGTTTCTGAGTTATGAACAATTAAAAAAAAAAGTCGAAAGTGTCATTTTACCCCACCCTTCCCTACTCGCAAGTAGAGACGCAAATGCGTCACATGACGGGGCATTTATGACGGCTGCTACAATTCCCCTCCCCTCCTCGTGACCGTCGCAGCCAAACAAATATGACAGTCATTTTTCACCTATATAGATGCAATTTCATTTTTTCTGTATCAATTTTTATTTGAATTCTATTGATGAAACAATTTTTTTCATTTATGACCGTCACAAATTTGAAATTAGTTGAGTGTCATTATGCATTTATGTCGATATTTTGACAACAAATTGTTTCGAAATTATTTGTGACCATCATTTTTAGTTGAAAAATTTGTGTCATATGACCGTAATTTTTGGTCATATGACGCGGTCTCAAAATGACGGTCATTTTGCATCTCTAATCTGTGCAAATGGCGCCAGGTGGTAATTGTCGACAGAACTGTTGTATCGACTCAGTTCTCCGCTCCAATTTCATGTTGATTAGGTTATGAACATTTGTTTTTATGCGTTTTGTTGATATTGAGAGTCAAATATTTTCAGAACGTTATTTATTCGTCAGATTAAAAAGCAATTTATTGGTCAGAATTAAGTGCACTTTGTGGGCATTTAGGGGTTGATGAAGTAGTTAAACAATGTCCGATTGCTGTGAAGAAGTTGAAAACGATGAAGACTTTTTGGAGCATAATTTCGGCAAAGAGTGTTGCGATATTTTGGAGCAGTATCCCGAAATTTTGGAGTTCATTTCTAAATTGCAGGAGCACGTGAGGAAACAACGGAAGAAAATATGCAAATTGAAGAATAGATTACTCTCTCAGGTGAATTGTCAACCATAATTACGAATCAATACCGTTGTAAAGTGTCGAAATTCACTCGTTCATTTCTTCTAAAAAATGTCGATAGATGAAGTATTTCAAGGGAAAGTGGGGTAAAACGGCCCCTTTCAACTTTTTTGTGATACTCATAGCTCAGAAACAAATGCATTAATTGAGATCAGTCTAGGCTCACTCTAAAGGGGCAGAGGTGTAGTTTCCATGGAAAAAAATGATTTAATTTTATTTAAAATTGAATGAGCTGTTAACATTATTGAAAAAATCAAAAGGAGTCGTTTTACCCCACGCTCCCCTATTCTTTGTAAAGCATGGGATTGTCTCAAGAATGAATGATTATGAGAGAAGCTGTGAGGACTATGTTCGTGGAATTATGGGAAAAAAGGCTCCTTCTATTCTGTTAAAATTAATAAAATTTAATTTCAAATTGAATTCCCAAATTTGAAAATAGTGGATTTCCATTGAAAATTCTATTCCCTTCCATGTTACTCTAATGTTACATAGGATTGGAGTAAATGATTATTATAATCGTCCCATTATAATTGCCCAATGCAGGATAACGTCGTTAATGTGCTTTTCAGAAAAAGGCTGAAGAAAATAATCCTGAGGATAAGGCGATACAAACTGAGAAATTAGAAGCTCCTGCATCATCGAATAATTGGGAAATAAATTTAGAACAATCTGGGAGCATAACAGACCAGGTGAAACAAGTTGCTGAAACTGCTCTTCAGCAATCTGGTTTCGTCTATGAAGAAACATCTGGACTGTACTATGATTACAATTCTGGATACTATTACGACGCTGTAAGTCCTCTGGAAACGTGTCAGGAGTCGTTAAAAAAATGGCACTGAACAAATAGACTTGGATATTTTCAGCTTTTTAATTTTCCAACTAAATTGCATGAGAAAAAATTGAAAAAATTCATGCAAAATTAATATCAGTTAAATTGCATTTTATACGATACTGATTTTTTCTCAACATTTTCTTTTCACAAATGAATAATGGAACTTGCACAGAAATGAAGATATTAATTTTTACATAAAACGCTGGGTTACATCCTAATTTTTCAATTTTTTTTACAAACACACGAAATGGCCACGAAATTGAAGAGAAAATTATGATTGTGAATCGAATCGAGTTTTCGAAAAATTAAAATTTATCGTAAGTGTAGAGTTACATTAACAGGGCGTTTAGTGTTGCTCTAAGAAGAAGATTGTTAAGAAAATGTTCTCTCGAACTAAAAACGTAATATTGAATCGTTTCCTTTGAGCAATATTTTGCACTCTCTTGTTTTTTCAGAGCCAGAGACTTTATTACGATGGAAATTCTGGGACTTATTACTCCTACGATGAAGATACGAAGTCCTACAAATTTCACAGTCAACCGACGGCAGTTGATAAATGTGAAAAGAGAAGAGCTAAAGTGGCTAATAAGGTGAGACTGATCATTTGTTCACAATTCGATTCTCCACATTTTGTTGAATATCAAATTATCTCGATAATTGAGAGCTTTAGGAAGAAAATTCTCTGCAATAAAAATCTCCAGACTTTTGTCCGTAAAGTCACTTATTTCAGAGACAAATGTCGAACAATTCAGTGCGACATAAGGTAAACGATACAGTTTCGGATCAGGAGTGGTACCTGGTCACTTTACTTTTCTTTTAGAGTTTCTGTCAGTTTTTTCAAATTGACCAGCATGAAAAAAAATTACAGAAAAACCTATCGAATTCGCTAGACAATTCTATTGGATTTCTATTAGTTTTTTGGGCAGGTCTATTAAGATACACAACAGAAAGAATTCTACAGAAAAAGTCAATAGATTTCGATTTTCCTATGCAACTTATTTTATTGGGATATTTTCTTTTTTATATAAATGAAAAATAAATAAAATGAATTTAAAAAAAATAATAATAATAAATAGTAAATTTATTTTTGTTTTTGAGAGATTTGATCTATATCGAGTGTGGAGTACCACAGAAATCAATAAAATGTATTGTTTAACACATATACTTATCTCATTTTCACTCGTACAATCATTCGTTTGTTAAATTCGATATCGTGCACACTGCAGAATAAATTGTAGGGTTAAAATATCTCCACGGCGATTTTTTTAATACCCTATTTTTATTGATTATTTAGTATTTAAAACTAAAATTTTGATTGCAGGGGTAACCCATTGCTAATAATTTTATATTATTGTCATGGTGGGCCTTAAAAAAGCTCAAGGTTTCGTAATGATTCTCGCCACACAATTTTTCGATGATTTTATATAAATTTCACATTTTGTCTATGCCGTAAGTAATTCGATAGATACTTTTTTTTAACAAAAGAAGTTGTAACGGTCAAGTGAACACAAGTCTGAATAATATTGAAAATAAAATGTTGTGTTGGCTTAAGCGTCTTGTCTTAATTAAGCAAGATTGCGAGATTGGATTGAATATTTTTATATTCAGTGACTTTACCAAAAATTTGATTATTGATGGCAAATAAATATCGGTACTTTGCTTTGAAAAAAGGTTCATTGTGGTCTGACTGCCTTTCTTATTTTTATTCATCTTCGATTGAACTCGGGCTGAGCAGGGATAGCCATATCCATAAATCATAATTATTGTTCAATTATTAAGTAGTCAATTAGTTAATATCACTTTTAAATTGTAATTATCGAAATAATCGTCGATTTAAATAACCAAATTTTGAATGTTTCATAAATCAGTAATTGAGTTAGGAAGATTGACGATTATTTCGAGAATCGGAAATCCCTTATAAGAAATTTAGTATTATTTATTTAATAGAAAATTTATAGCTCCATATTTTTAAATACTTAATTCACCATCAATTGAAAATTTAGATCATCAATTATTTTACTTTTTTTAAATTTCGATTAGTAGATAAACCCTTGATCAATGTAAGTCGGAAATTCTTTTAATATTGAAGAATCGGAAGACTGATGGTCATGCCTGGGGCTGAGTTGGTCAGAAACTGTATCATCTACCTTAAATGGTTTTAGGAGAAAATGTCCACGGCTACATAAAAAAATACTCGACATTTTCACCTAAAAAGACTTTGAAATGCACATTGAATAAAAACGAATAACGTTATTCATTAAACACTACCTTAATAACGAGGGATTTTGGGAGAAAATCTCAAGAGATCTATATTGAAATTTCACTCTCTTGAAAAAAAAAACAATAAATAATTAAATGAACAAAATGAAAATGTTTCTTGACATTTTCTCCTCAAGTCACTCTGTTTCTAGACCCATCAGAAATCAACAAAAAGTGAAATCTAATTCACACTTTTACTTCACAAATTATGAAGGATCGTTGGTTGATATGATTTTTTGTTTTGTTCTGCAGGTTTCGGATGAGATACATGAGTTAATAGCCCGTGTTTCGAGTATACAGCTGGAAAGCTATACTCGGCACATATCAGGTAACTAGCCTTTGCCAATCCAATACGAATACGTGTCTCTCTCTCTTGTAGGATGAGGCTAAGAGACTGAAAAAATGTACAACTGACACCGATGATAATCACGTTGAACCGGAGGAGGGTGAATGCTCGGATAGTGATAACAACGAGGTCGGGAGCGAGACTAGCAGTAGTGATAATGAGAATGATGAGCAAGGTGTATTATTTATAATTTTTATTAGGAATTAATTGGGTTCCGTCATTATCGCAAAAGCTTGGTGCTTATTATTGTGGAACTGTCCCGAACTCTTGAGGGTTTGAGAAAAAATTACAGAAGATTCTTTTTGCTGGGAATTCTCAACAAAAAAGGTCCTCCCAACTTTTTCAATCGTGTAGTTACGAATATCCAAGTATAGAATTTTCTTATAAATTATATTTTAGCATTAATTATGCGTGAATCATTTATGAAAAGAGTCTTATCTTCTGAAATTATAGTTTTTCAATTACTTTATAAATCTTTCTGGAAAATTCGACTTGCCATTTTTTTCTCAGATTTTTCAATGTTGGCTGGTCATTCTCAATGGAGAATAAATTTTGGGCATTCGTTATTTTATTTGATTATTTGAGACATTTCCAATCATCAAATTAAGGTCCTGGTGTACTATCTTTCGAACGTTATCTCGATGTTTTTTTTATCCTTCGTCATCTGAAATGGTCAATTAAGTCCTGCATGATGCAGAAGTTTTGAAAAATTATGAATGAATAATAAAAAAAGTAGAAAAAATTCTTAATTTTTTCAAAGAGCATTTTTAATTCATATTCAGAATAAGTTGAATAACAAGAAATTGAAAAACGTATCTGATTTACGGTGACAAGTAGCGGCCTGTCACCCAATATCATGCAGGGGGAGAGACTGATTTCGTAAATCTTTTCCCACACTGCACAGAGACATTTATTACGGAAAAGGCTTTTTGAAAAAAGTTGTAATATTTTTGAGAATTTTTTAATCACACTTTTATCACATAAAAATGGCAGATGACTACATACCACTGTTTTGAAAATTGAGATACCTAGCTATTACTTCCCATGAGGAGTTAGTGTTTTGTCATCCACCGTGGAAAATGACAGCTAATAGATAATTTGCCACAGCGAATCAGATATTTGTAATTTCCACGTTTTTCAACTCATTCTGAATCTCAATTAAAAACGCTCTTTGAGAAAGTTCAGAATTTTTTCTATTTTTCTTTTATCATTCTATCATGATTTTTGGAAATTTCTACATGATCTACCACTCAATTGACAATTTTGGATGGCGAAAGATAAAAAAAAATCCAGATAACATTCAAAAGATAGTACACCCGGTTTTTTTTTAGTTGAGAAAACACTCTCTAACAGTATTCAACTGTTAATGAATTATTCTACATCTTTCATTCAGTGTTATGTAATCATCAGAGTAAGAGTTCAATTCAATTTTTCACTGCAGAATACTTTTTGAGAAAAATAAAATTCATACGTATTGTATAAGAATTTACCTTTCACTGAAAACGTTTCAAAAAAAATAGTCTGAAATTGTCCATTTTGGTAATAATTCACAGATAATGAATATTCACTAGAACCCTGATTCATCAGTCACTTCTATCACTGATATTTGGTGATGGATTTCTAAAAATTAACGATGGGTCCCTGAAAATCAACACTTTTTTTCATCTGTGAAGTTGCCTGACATCCGTTTTTTATTGCAGAATTGGCAAAGACGTATCCACCATGCATGAGAATAATTGTGAAGGAAACAAATCTCCACAAATTGAAAGTTGGATCCCTTTTCATTGTCACGTACACTGGAGGTTCAATGGGTCGTGAGGGAGATCATTCTGTTCTTATTCCTGATATTAATATCAGTAAGGTGAGTTTCTAAAATTGAAGCAGAAATATCTTCCGGAAAAAATCGTCATGAAATATTGAAAAACATATTCAAAACTTTTTCATCACACAATTCATGGAGATCTTCAAACTAAAATGACTTCAAACCAAAATGAATTGCTAGATTATTTTTAAAAAAAGCAAGTTTCCTGTTGTTCCAGCATCACGCAAAATTCCAATACGACGAGACCAAGAAGCACTACGAAGTGATCGATCTGGGCTCGAGGAATGGCACAATCCTAGATGGAAAAAGGCTGTCAGTTGCCAAACAGGAGTCAGAGCCCTTCGAAATATCTCATGGATCCATCATTCGAGTGGGGGAGACCAAACTTTTATGCCACATTCACTCGGGCTATGAGACCTGCGGGCACTGTGAACCTGGCTTGGTTCAGCAGAGCCAACCCATCGAAGGCAATGCCATTCCCAGGAAGACTCAGCATAAATCGGAGCTCAAGAGGTTGAAGAATAAATTCGGGGTCGACAAGGATAACACCAACACTGCTAGTATGGTGGCTGCTGGGTATAGGGACAGGGCTCAAGCTAGGAGGGAGTGCGTGGGGTCGTCTAATCATCATGTGAAGACACATCAGAGTTCGATCGACACGTGAGTTGAATTTAGTTTATTTTTGTCATCTAAATTAATTATTGATTTATAATAATCCTCATTGAGATTAATTTTTTATGTCTTTGAGAAAAATTTCTTGCTTTTTAAAATCGATTTTCATTATGTTTCGTCATTTTTAAATCAGTCAATGGTGAATGCAGAATTATCATGTAGATATCTGTGGTAAGTCTTCAAAAGGATTTTTGAGTGGATTCTTCATGTTTGTTTCTGACTTTCTTCCTTTTTAAAATATTTGCTGGAGATTTCAGAAATTATGTAGAAACTGTTCTGTTAATATCAGACGATTTTTTTCTGTACTCCAAAAAAATTCAATGTTTTTCTCCAAGCCTTTGTCTCTAGGAAATATTTTCAAAATAATCTATAGATTCGTTTCTAAAAACGACTCGCTAATCAAAAAGATTATCCTATTATCCCACATTTCAAAGAAATTATGATAAATTCTCTAATGAGTCTTGAAAATCATTTTAAGAAGAATAATTCACAGTTTATGAAATCGTATTGAGAGGTTTCCCAACGTTTTTATCTAAAAAAATCGGTTCCCGGATTGTTTTCCCCCAAAAAAAATTCCCCGGAAAAAATTCCCCCCGGAATAAATTTCCCCGGAATAAATTTCCTCGGAATGATTTCCCCTTACCACTGAACATGAAGGTTACACATACACGTATTACCAATATCAATTCAATTTATTACGTCTCTCAATCTTTCAAACCCAAATCAGAATTCAACATTTTCAAAACAATTTTTTTCCAAATTTCAAAACAAACTCTCATGCCTACATAATCAGTACAATACGATGAACATTCACAATCCATCATAAATCACTTAATTACTATCATTTATCAATCAACATTACCAAAATAAATCCCCAAAAAGATTCGAATCAATCTCTTGTCCCAATAAACAATCAATTATCATAATAAATTATTACAACAACCTAATTGCTCCAAAATGACAATTTCTTCTACATCTAGTATTCCATTAATTTCAAACGATGAAATAAATTCTTTCATTAATTTTTCATGTCCAGAAAAACAAAATTCAGGGGAAATTATCAGGGGAAAAAAATTCGGGGAAATTTTTTCCACGCGATAAATTTTCCGGGGAAATTTCGACGGGGAAATAATTTTCGGGGGAAAACAATCCGGTCACCAAAAAATTTTGGTTTAAAAAAAAACGATCAATGGAATTTTTTTTATTCCATAAAATATTCTGTAAAAAATCCGCTCTGATGTTTTCCTCCAAACCATACTCATTAAAAGATGATATAGAGTAATATTTACACATAATAATAATGCAGATTCATTTTTCAATGCGTTTTCCGAATCGAAAATATGATGTTTCCTCTCTTCACCCAATTTTTGCTATGAAAAAATGATTGTAAAATCCATTCACCAGATTCTGACGAGCAAGGACAATTTCCCAATTGAACAGAATTTTTTATTTCACTAAAAAAATCATCACATTTACATTTAACGACAGTTTTTCAACGAATTTATAAAATAATCTGCAACAGATTTTGACATCGAAAGGTTTTTTTACTGCAAAAAACTCAAGTTTCCACTAGAAAATTATTTTTCAATTGATTTAATCACAGAAATTCTCACTCTCATTACAGATCAATAGCTAAAGACAACAAAGGTTTCAAACTCCTCTCAAAAATGGGCTGGACTGAGGGTCAATCACTGGGGAAAGACGGTGATGGAAGAACCGAGCCAGTAAGTTACAAATACTATAACAAAATCCTAGGACTTTGCCCTCATTCTCACTCACAACAGGAAGGTGAAGAGGCGTGTCACTTGGCCGGGAAAAATAGTCATCTCTCGTTTCATGGTAACACCCCAAGTTCCGGTTGAATTGAAATAATGAGAAGTACTGTAAAACCATTTTGTATAATCATGTTTGTTTTACGGCTGACGTTAAGTGGTCTGTTGGTGCGTGATGCAATTGCAGAATATTTCTTGTATCTTCTTTTCAACAAAACTTGTCTCGTTGAGAATTAACATCGGTGTAGAACGAGATCAGTCGTTTGGGTCCTACCAGTCTCTCTCAGACTAATGTATATAATCATCATGGCTCTTCCCTATCCGCATTTTTGCGCAACCGTAACACTTGGAATGGATGGAAAGAAATAAATTGCATGGATGATGGAAAAATTCAAAGAAGTTGCGAAGAAAAAATTCACGAAGAGGATGGAGACAATTCTGGAAGACTAGATCGTTATTTTTATCTGCGGAAAATCAATTATATTCATCAATTACTGAACATCATTTCATTGGTTCTAAATTGATGCATTGTCAGACTGATAGAAAAAATTATTTTTATTGAGATGTTTCTTTCTTCGAAGAAGTGTTATATAATTGAAGCAATTTCAAATAAATACGATCTCACGGTGAATGTCAATTATTTCTTGTTGAGATACATTTACTTGAATCAAATAAAACAGTCCTTGACATCAAGGCACATGTATTCACCACAAAAATGGAAAAGTTCTATTTGTTTTTAACATTGAATGAAATTTTGTGATATCCAAGTTTGTCTTGAATTGCCGTAATCTGTGATTCTGTTATCGTAAACTAATGCGATTTTTTTAGTCAAGAAATATAAACTTCTTTCAGCGACGTCTTACTACAATCTCAAAGCTTTTTCCGCGTAAGAACATTCATCCTGATTCGACATACGAAATGCTCACTTCAATTATAATTTACTTAGAACAACGTATGATCGTGTTGATTGAGATAACAAAGTATTTAGTGACGAGAATAATTTTGATTTTTGAGTAAACCAAAAACTAATTTCTGGAGTTGGCAAACTTTTGGTTAGAAAGAAATCAAATACTCTCATTATTGCGACAAATAAAAGAAACTTTAATTCGAATTCTCCCATTCAAATGTATCTCAAGAAGAGATAACTGGTATTCACTATAAAATCATGTTTATTTGAAATTTAACAACCAAATGATGGTTGGTTCAAATAAAATTCTCTGGATAAAATACATTTGTTCTGCCAGTGCATCGCTCAAATTCAAGTTTTCCAACTTTTTGCGTTGGGATGACTAAAGGTCGTTTTGTGGTAAGTTTGTTTGCACTTGAAATGTATTAAATAAATCGAGAAATATTTTCAGCATTGAAGGAAACATTTGATCAATGAAATCCTGAATTTTTAATGAATTTGAGAAATTGAAACGAACTCACGGAAAGTCAAATATTCTAAGGAAATTTGAATTAAAGAAAATCTTTCGAATTTTAAAAGAATTGGGCTGCAGTGCCACAAAATGTCATCACTATCTTGGCTTTCGTATTCCCAAGTTTCAAGTTCATTATTTAGAATTTTCGTATTCACCAGAAGCTCGAACTCCAAATCTGCAATTTTTTAAAACGATGTCGCCTATTGCTAATTTGTTAGCAACAGTACCAATCCCGCAGTTTCAAAAACCGCGATTATCCCCTCGTTTTTGCCTCTCCGATTGATTTTCATCGGACGTCGAAGAAATTCGCAATTATTTTAATTTCTCCAAATTCACTATCATCATTTTCACATAAAACAGGATAATCCAAGAGGTACCATTATCCCCTGACCACCGCAGTATCAAAAAATTTGCTGCCTCCATTCGCTAATCTATTTCGTCTCGTGCGTTAAAACGAGTCTGACATTTCAAGAGGGGAGGGGGGGGAGAGGGAAGAGAGCATTCGTATGATAACGAGTCCCCCAAGTCTCTCTGCGCTCTGGTGAGAGTGAGCAGACTGACAAAAAAAAGAAACAGAAGTAAAAATATCATAAAAACAGAAAAAAAACAAGGGAAGAGGGAGGAGCAGAGTCGACGACATGACCAGTGGGTTTTTGAGAGTTGGTGGAAGGGTAGTCGTCTAATTAATGCAAATCTACCAAAGTCCAAATGATTATTTTTCTCCCGTCTAGACGCATCCAAGTCCCATTGCATGTTATTCAACATTTGTTGGATTTTTTTTTAGTTCGTTCACTAGGTTTTTTTTTTGACTGTTTATCCTTTCATTTCTCTTCATCTCTTTTGGGGTTTATGGCTTGATACGGTCGGATGGATGATGGGGAGAATCGAGAGGGGGAGATTTCAGATTTATAATTCAGTAATTGGGCTCCGGTCATTTTTTTTTTTTTTTTAAAGTGTAAAGGGGAAATTGATCCCCGCCGCTGCGGAAAGAAATTTGAACAAGTACAAGTCGTTTGGATTAAGGAATTTATTCTGATGATTGACAAGGTGAAAATTCTTGCATTTTTGCGGGGAAGAGAATTTTAGAATGAAGAGAAGAAATACTTGTTTGAGACCAGTTTTTTCTTATCACCATTCGAGTACCAAATTTTAAAGGGTCACGACCCTTACTCTGACCCTCGTGACCGTTATTCCGACCCTCATAACCCTTATTCTGACCCTCATGACCCTTGTGACCTTTAATTTTTGAGTCTTAATTTCGAGTACCAAATTTTAAAGGGTCACGACCCTTACTTTGACCCTCGTGACCGTTATTCCGACCCTCATAACCCTCGTGACCCTCATGACCCTTGTGACCTTTAATTTTGTAGTCTTAATTTCAAGTACCAAATTTTTAAGGGTCACAACCCTTACTTGGACCCTCGTGATCGTTATTCCGACCCTCACAATCCTTATTCTGACCCTCGTGACCCTTGTGACCTTTAATTTCGGAGTCTTAATTTCGAGTACCAAATTTTTATCACCAGAAGTCGATTTGGATTTTTATAATATAGAGAGGTAATACCTATCAAAGCAAGTTACAATATCCCAATGTAACTGGGGAAATATCGTTTCAAAATTCAACCGCAAATGTCAGGATTTTTAAAAAAGATGTCAAGCATTTTTTCGAGAAAAAAAAATTGTCAAAGATCTTGCAATTCTCAATTCTAAACAGTGTTTCCCGCATGAGTATCGTCCGTACCTCTTCATTTCTCTGACTTTTCCACTCGCATAAATCTGAATGAGTGATGAAAAAAGAAATATTGACAATTTGCTCACCGGACGAGGAGTATTATCAGCGTCCGTTGCTACACAATTTTATGTACTACCTCTACTTACCTTCATTTCTGGTCTCATTTAAACCGATGGATTTCAGCCTGCAAGCCATTTCCACATGGAATCGGGAATATATATTTTTTTTTCAAGAATTTTTTGAGCTTTTTTTGCTGCTCACTGGGACTGGGATGAGAGAATGAAAAGGGAGAGGATTGAGGGAGATAAGAGAGGCACTGGGTGGAAATGAACGCTCTGTTTCTTACGATCGAGGGAACTTGCGTCTTACTTCTGCGACTTTGCAATTACCTCTCGGTAGAGTATCCCTTAGGCACTACTGACACTCGGTTGCGGTTGAACTGGCGCAGATAAATGCATTCCCAAGTGCGTTAAACATCCGTCGGGTGTACGCGTGATTTATATTGAATTTGAGATTTTTCTGGAAATTTTTCAACATCACTTCAGCTAAGCGGTACAACGACTTGAGTTGACTTAGCTGTTGACTGAGTTTTCGGGGAATATCTCCAAAGCTAAGGGAGGTACACTGTTAAAAATTTTTGTCTGAATTTGCCGTGCCAAATTCCGGAAATTTTTATCGTGGTCCAATTCCACTGAAATTTCAGGAAATCTTGTCATTGAAAATTCAGAATTTCGTGGGAAAAATCAAACAGAACTGTACATTTCCGTTCCATTTTTCCCTGAAAATGAACAAAACACCAGAAAATTCTGGTAAATATATTCTTGAATTTTCAGGACAGTGACACTGAATGCGATTTAAGGGGAAAAAGAATCATGAAATTTCTGATTTCACTGAAAATTCAATGCAATTTGACACTGAATATTCATATTAGATTGAAAAATTGAATAAATTAAGGAATTCTCGTCTTTATGCCCCTTAAAATTCTCGAATTTTACTGCATTTTCAGTGAAACCTGAAATTTCATGATTTTCGTTCCTCTAAATTGCATTTAGTGTCACTGTCCTGAAAATTGGTAGTCAACTGTCCATCAAATCTAATTTTTTTTCCAACAGTGTAGCAAAATTTTTGTAATGACCCTTTTTGTAATGAATGTCGTCATTAAAAATTCATAATTTCGCGGAAAAATCGAAGAAGTGCAAATTTCAGTTCCAGTTTTCCCTGAAAATGAATAGAAAACCCGAAAATTCCGGTAAATATATTCTTGAATTTTCAGGTCAGTGACACTGACTGCGATTTAAGGGGAAAAAAATCATGAAATTTCGGATTTCACTGAAAATTCAATGTAATTTAGCAGTGAATATTCACATTAGATTGGAAATTTAAATCGAGGGGCTGGTTACTTAGGAAATCACTGCACCACTGCACTGGAACTCAAGGAAGGAATCACCAGAAATCAATAATGTCATTAATCATGACCGCGAAAGCCTTAAAACCTTTTCTATTAGTCTAGCCAAGTGGTAAAACGGTTCAAGTCGACTTATCCCCCAGTTGAGTTTTTGAAGAATATTTCCGAATCTCAGAGAGATAGCCAAATTTTTGCAATTACATTTGTTGTAGCTCGCAATCGGCTCTACAAAAAGGCTATAACAATAATTTTGCTATCTCCCTTACATTCCGAGATATTCATTCAGGGATATTCAAAACTGGTCAATAGTTAAAATTAACTCTTACTGTTTTACCACTTCGCTACTGAATTCTATCGAATCACTCGAAAAAAAAGTCATTTTAAAAAGATGAAA